ATCATGACTTCAGTGAGATTTGAACCTGAACTTAGTATATCCTCTCTCAAAAACCCAACTACTGGACATAGGCCTGAATGAGCAGAGGGTTTTTTCCCCCTTCCTTGTATTTGCAGCTGGAGTCATTTGAGTCACGCAGCAGAAAAGAGGGGGTTTCTTGGCCTTATAAGTGGGCTTTTGCTAGGTAAACATCTGGCCAAAATACCTCTGGGAAGCCTTTCATCATCCCCAACTTCCAGTTTATGAACAGAGGTAGAAAGCCTGGGACAACTGCAACAAGGGTTATTTATCGGAAGTACAAAAAGATATTGAAGAAGGAATCCCAGCCGCAGTCCTTGTCCCATAACACCTACAATTAAACCAGTGGGCCTGATCAGCTGACCACCACAGCACTGGTATAGACAACGGTGTGCCAGACACTGTATAGTGCACAGAAAAGCGACCCATTTAGCCCGATAAAGATGAGAGGAAGGAAGACAGACGCCTGGCACTAAGTACTTTCAACTAGCACGGCACTGGGTCACCTGCAACAACTTAATCGGCCTAGTTCCTCGATTCTTTTAGAAGAAAACTTCCACAAAACCTCAAGTACTGAACTCAAAGGGGTTTAAGCCTTCCATTTATCGCGCCCAGTGGGTAGCCCTGCAGAGATCTGCACTACCGCTTATAACATCAGGACTTAAAGGCCTGCGATCCACGAACCACTTAAATTGCATTCCTGAGGGGAGGCCATTTGAAATCGGCAAGGGCGCTTAACCGGTTTAAGTACAAGTTTGCAAAATGCAACCGCAGGTACTGAGGCTTGATTAGATGATCGGCTTCCCCCCCCCCTTCCCTCCCCTCTCTCTTTCTCTCTTAGGTGTATATATTTAGCCAGCAGGCACCCAGAGGGTTTTTGAAAGACTCCGAGTTCCCTCCTCCCACAATCATGCAGCAAACACGTTCAAGAACTGCTTGCAGCAGGGGAGCAACCAAGACTCTCATCTGCGTGGTTGATTACAGCCCTAAAACGGACGACATGTAATTTCAGTTCTCGCTCCAGATCTTGGGCTTGATTTCCAGGGGCCCACTTATCCGAGGGAGGGAGCGAGGAGAGGAGACGCTGTAGGCTTTATTTGTCCTCGTCCCTATTAGCTATGCAGCCAATCTATCATTTCCGGCGGTGCTTCCATCTAATTACCGATGTATTTAGATGTGACGTGCAAAGAACTGCCGAGCTGCCTGCCTAGCGCTGCGTGGACTCCTCATCGGGAACCTTTCCAGCGAGGGCTTGAGTGCCCGGAGCTCCAGACAAAGAAGGAAGAGTTGAGGTGCGCTGCAGGCAAATCTGACGCAAATCGGCTTTCCGGGGTGGGGGGAGGGGTGATCCGGAGCCTCCAGGCTGGGCCAGCGGAGGCGCCTTCTCCACTGAGAACCGCTTTGCGTTATCCCCCCCCCCAACCCCCTTTAAAGAAAGGAGACCCTAAACATCCGGGCAGCCGCAAAGCGGGAGCCACTCTTTGCCTTCCGAGGCTTCTGTCAAGTCTGATGTGCCTCAAGGCACCCGTAGGTAAGTTTGCCCGTCTTTCCCGGAGTGTATGAAACAAACCTAGGCGAGGCTCGCCCAGCCCCGCGGTATGAAACAAAATCAGCTCCATTCTTCCCTCCTCCCACTTTGGCACCCCCTCCCGCCTCGCTTCAGAAAGCGAATGTTTGATTCGGCTCCGGGGGCGGTTTTGGCCCGAGTGGCTCCGAATTCCCCACTCTGGCTTTGTCCTTGTGCGCCCTCCCCCCCCCCACCGCTCTGGGGAGGGGAGAGCGCTCGGAGGGTCGCTGGGGCGGGCCCCCCCCCCCCACAAACACCCCCCCACACACACACACGCCTGACTCGCCTTATGCTTCGTTGTGCTCGACTGGCTCTGCACCAACAGGACACAGGGTTAAGCGCGCTCAGCGGAGTTCCCAAAGAAGAGGAAACTTCTGGGAACGGAAGAATCTGGCACTCGCCTCGGAAAGAAGGTTCCCGATTGTGGGAAACTGCCCTCCGAGGAGCTCATAGATCGCCGGAGTGCCGAGCCCGACTGGCCGCAGGGCCTCAGAGCCTCCCGATGTGCTGGGGGCTCTCGGCCAAATGCCTCCCTTATGCACCATCTAGGTTTCTGTCGCGTGAAGGGTTAACTACACACATTCACATGCACCGAATCTCGCGGTGACCTTTTCCTCTGCGTCTCTCCCCCCCCCCCCCCCCCCCCCCCCACTTCTGCTTTTCAGGCTCCGGTTCTCTCGCTCAGAGGGAGCCTGAACGGCTGTCTAGACCGATCTATCATAGGTCGCAAACAATACAGGGGGGTCCCTTCCCTTTTCCCTCGGCTGTGGCACCTCACCTTCGAAATCACCAGGAAGATAAAGAAAACACGGGGTACCTGGAGGCCCCCAAAACAGCCTGCCTTCGTGCCTGACAAATGGGATTTTATCTGTTCTCTTTTGGCGCACGCCTGAGACGCACCACACGTTTCATGTCCCACAACTGCCCTGAGGGAAGGCCTGGACTCCCTCGGAGGAAGGATGGCAAGGAGAGGGGGGAGACGAGCCGCCAAGCTTCCCAAAGGCTGGAGAACTTAATCACGGTGGGGGTCGACCCACAGATTCATTCTGTCCCCCGCCAAGTGCTCTCTGACTCCAACTGACCCGGCCTGATCGCGAAGTCCTTCCCGGAATGCGCGCTGGAGGACCAGTTCCGCAGAAGGCCGGAGAAGAGCTAATGGGTTGTGCGACTCATTGATCCAGATGATACTTTCTAATTAACTCCCAGTCACCTATTTGCCACAGCAATTCAAAGAGCGTTACTGTGACTACACTGAAAGCCCAGGCTTGGGCGGTGCTCGGATGTTTGTCCTGCTTTATAACCCACCCAAAGCCATTTCGGGCTGCCCTATCACAAAAAGGCAAAACCTTACTGGGCTTCCATTTAAACGCCGGGCGTTTAACCACAAGGCGGGGGAGGGGAGGGAAGAGAGGAAAGCAAGCCCTGACGGAGTACAGTCCTGGCCTACTTTACCAGAGAACAGTCTCGCTAGCCTCATTCGGGTTCCTACAGGGTAAGCGTTGAGTAACCCCTGGGCCCTGTGGTGAAGGCACCCCGTTGCTGAGGAAGCCGAGATTCCCGAGCCTGAGTTACGTGAGGAAGACGGACAGCCAAGTCGAGGCTACAGCCAGGCGCGGGACGACACAAAGGCTGGGCGCGGGCGGAAAAGGCGATCCACTTGGCGTAGCTGGGCTTCAACCCCTGAAGAAGAGTGGTCTGGGCCGCCACAGCCTGGCCTGTGAGGCCCCAGCCAGGCTCCGCAAGGGTGCCGCGCTCCACCCCACCTAATGGGGGAGGGGAGAAGTCGGGCTCCTTATCTTCGCGGGCAGATTGTCTTGGCCGGGCTGGGCCTCGGGAGCCCTTTGGCCTCGGCCTACTTCACAGGGAGCTTGACAGATCCAGCCTGTGGGTCCCTTCCGAGCGCAGACCGCCCTTTTGTCGGGTGTCCTTTGAATACGAAACAAACGCGAAGCTGCGGGCTACCTCGAAACAGATGGAAAGCCAAGGAGGGAATCGTTAGGGGAAATTAATGCGGAAATAAGCTCCGAGGCGAGTGCCATTAAAACACAAGCACGCATTTTGTCACAGTTTTACTTGGGATGTGGGGGTTTCGGCTCCCCTCCCGGTCCCCCCCCTCAAGCGCGCGCACACGCACACACACGCGGGCGTTTTTGCGAGCCCGAGAGGCCGCCGGCAACGGAAGGCGCAGCTTGGCAAATGAAAGATCGCCCCCGGACTCAGCTTCGCGAGGAGCAAACAAGCTACGTGCCACAGATGCCGCGCTCCAACAACCCCGGAGTTGGCGAGAGCTTTCGCAATCAGCCTGCTCGCGGGTCCCTCCGCCATCCGGTCTTGGGAGGCAAGTTCCTAACCTCCACAGAAGCAGAACGAAGGTGCAAAGGACGCGTGAAATTCCCGGCTGCCACGCTGGACCCCACACCCGAGTCTTTGAACTGGAACTACCGGCCCCAGAACTGGAACTACCGCCCCCCATCTCATTTCCTCTCCCCCCCCCCATTCGAGTCCTCCAGCTGCCTCGAAACCACCGGGGAGAAAACCTCCCACCGCCTCCGCAGTCCCTTTCAAAAGAACGCCTTTCAAAACAGAGACACACACCAGAGCCTTTTACCTCGATCACGTTGTCTATCGGCGGTTTGCATTGCAGCCCCACTGCTCGGTGGGCCAAAGGGGCAAGCCAAGAAGCTCTCCAACAGCACTCCCTCTTCCCTCGACCAGCCGTGTGCTTCTCCCCTCCACCCACTCTCCCCTTTCCCCTTGGGAGCCGAGAAGTGGCGGCTGCCAAAGGTGGGGCTTTTATAGCCCTTTCCGAATCGGAAAGATAAAAGAGAGAGAGAGAGAGACGCTCGGAACACTCCCCCCCCCTC